AGAAAAGATCACACCATGAGGGTGTGTCTCAACATGCCCCGTTTTTCTGCAGTTTGCTTTGCTTTGCCCAAAGAGGTGATTTGGCGTGCTATGAGTGGCTCCTACGTTTTAATTTTTGAGTTTAAGAAAAGCAAGGGCTTTTCTTAAAGAATTTAAAAGTATTCCTGGCAAAACCGGGCCAAGGCAAAGCAAAAACCAGCCTGTTAAGACACACCCTCAGCCTGTTAAGACACACCCTCAGGGTGTGTCTTAACAGGCTGGTATTACAGGCTGGTTTTACAGGCTGGTTTTACAGGCTGGTTTTTAGGGGGTGTGTCCATGTCGATCAGATTCACTTACCAGCGTCAGTGCCAGTGGCCGAGAAAGAAACGTTGCAAGTGTTTCTTTCCATTGCAGCGGCTGTCGTTCCACAATGTGGCTACAGTGGTGCCTCCTCAATAGTTCGCAGTTGAATAGTTCGTTTGGTCAATAGTTCGCCTTTCGGACCTCGCCTTTCGGACCATGTCACGCCTTCTCAGACGTGTACACGTGTACTCGTGTAGACCGTTGTGGTCCCGACCGTTGTTTGAGGGAGTGGAGGTTTTAGGCTAAAACTTTTAGCAGAAAGGACAAGTCTTATTGCGGCCAGCGAAGGACTTCGTCGGGCAAAACGAGTATTTTTTGAGACCTACCGAGAGCAGACAAGGAATAGAACACGGCAGACAATCATTTCAGAGCATTCTAAGCACCTAACAATAAATGGACATGTGCCAGAAAGGCGAGCATAATAGTTCCTTCTGTCAATAGTTCGTATCTGTGGGTCCTGGCACGGGGGCGAACTATTGAGAGGTACCTACTGTAGTGATAACGTGAACGCAAGAGGGATTAACAAAACGTCTAAACAGAGCTTGAGTACTGGCTACCGGTAGCCTGGCCTGCTAATGTGGTCCGGCCACGCGTACGCATGGCGCATAAAAGGGCAAAGAGGTGACGAGTCACTTTCGCGATCCGCTAGCAAGTGCCTTCCCTCACAATGTTCAATGCACTGTTGAGATCTGTCGAATCGCGTACAATAGTGAGAAAGATATCTGCGATCTACTCTCGAAAGACAGGCACATGCCTTATCCGGCTGGAGTTCACAAGAAATGGTCTTTTACTCTTCGTACCTTATACCGCGTAAAACTACTCTCACTCCTGGCGCCGAGTTGGCATCCAAGAAGGCTCTGCTGATGTGCCTGTCCTTTGCGAAAAGAGACAATGGCAGCACCGTTACAAAATTCCATCTATCCTCTACCGTCGCAGAAAGGGGAGAAACGGAAAGTTGGTTTTTGTCGTGCTACTCACAATCTACGCAATATTGCACCTATGGGCAGCGATTCATGGTAGCTGCGAGCCAATCTTGTGACGGCGCACGTCAGCGTGCTCCTTGATGTCAACAAAGTCTTGAGGATTGTTTGACTCTACCCACTCTTTCTGCCACCCAGCCTTGCCCACTCTCTTTCTCGTCTCGTCAATTGCTTTGACGACGCGGCTGCTCAGGAGGCCTACCTCTTTTTCATACCCCGCCTTGCCGAAATATCCTTCAATCATCGAGCGCAGGACATGCTGGAGCGATGCACGGATTTTCTCGTTCTTCGAATCGTAGATCGCTTCGAAAAGCTTGGTCTTGTATCGATCCTTCTTCGCCGGCTGATAGATGTAGTTCGAAATCCAATCGCGGTACGGGTTGCGCACTTCGCTTCCGTCCTTGTATTCGTCCCATAGTGTGTTGTCCAGGTCCCAAGTGATCATATACCACTTCTTCTCCTGCTTTGGTTCACCTTCATCATCCATGACAGGTTTCATGTCTTCATCTAGAGCATCACGGCAAAGATAAAACATGTAATCGTTATCGCCATTAGCGGCAATACTGTCCCAATGCGAAGTAAGAAGAACGCCCGCCAAGTAACCATTGATGCTATCCATGTCGAACATTGCGCGGATCTCATCCTCCGACGGGTTTGAGTGCAATAATCTGATGAGTGACAGCATCTTTTCATCGCCTTCAACCAAGTCTTCTTCATTCTTTGGTTTGTTCCCTCTCACAAGTTCCTGCTCCCAACCGGTGCGTGAGTACTTGTCCTCGTCAAAAAAGGCTTGTCCCCTATCTGCTTGGATTAAGTATCCCTCGAGCTTTTCTCCAGGAACACGCTCAAACCGCGTCTTGACAAACGTCTTGTCTATGTCTTCGGTAATAACGTAGAGACCCTTCGGATCGTAGAGCCGCCCGTTGTATGGTACGCGGTATGCCGGATTCATCGAATCGTAGCCTTCCTCAACAGTCCTACCGTTTGTCACATACAAAGTGCAGAAGTCTGCGCGATACACCAAACCGCCGTTTGTCCGCCACGGTCGCTGGGCATCAGTGTCGCCCTGCACAGCCTTTCGGAAGACATTGCCAGCGAGCAACTCTCGCACCTTGGACGGATCGTTTCGACTCGCGCGCATTGAGAAGCCTTGTACTCCAAGGAACCGACGATCGTCAAATTTTGACGGCAGTTCGATATTCTTAATGCCATCGTCGCGCCAAGCATATACCCTTGTCGCGTCAAACTTGAATTTGAATTGCCGTTTGATGTTCCCCACTGACAGGCTACCACGGACTCTGATGCCGACATCTTTTATGACATGGTCGTCAAAGATGAGTTCGTCAACAAGACCGTAACCGGTATCGGCGTGTTTCTCACCATCTTGGAGAACCTTTTCGAAGACAAGTTGATGAATACGGATGTACACGTGATGGTGCGTGTCATTGAAGATGTAATTGGACGACATCTCAAAGACGTCTGACCCAGACATGTCAGGCTTACCGCTTTCCTGAACAAAGACGGGCTCGAAAATGGTGCTAACATCTTCAGGAGATTCCTCGGTCGCGGATGGAGCGCTGCCCGCTGTCTCAGCAGTAACTGGCTTGGACTCCCCGTCAGGAATCGGCGGAACCACCACCGATGGGATGGAATGAGTCTCCGTGGTCGGCGTAACCAATGTATCCCCAGCGCCAGGAGCTTCAATCTCCGCAGGAGGTGGTACTTGTGTCGGTCCCACAGCTGGATCGTCAATTTCTCCAGTGGCTGGAGCATTAGCCTCTGAAGAAGGAGGGGCTTCAGTCCTTCCAGGTGCTGGTACCTCAGTATCTTCCCCGGGTGTGACTTCAGCTTCTTCAGAAGCCGGAGTCTCCTTGGCGGGCGGCGTCTTTTTCTCCTCGATGTGTGCTGCTTCGGTCGTTGCAGGGTCAAGCGTCTCCGTCTCCTTCGCGGATGGTGCCTCAGTCTTCGTAGACGCAGGTGCCTCAGTTTCCCCAGCAGACGGGGCCTCCATCTCCGTTGGTGTAGGTGGGGCCTCAGTCGTTGCAGACGCTGATGTCTCTGTATTCTCAGCGACTTGCGCATCCTTTGTTACAGGCGCCGATATCTCTGTCTCCTCTGTGGGTCCTGCTTCTGTCGTTGGAGATACGGGTGCTTCCGTCGTTGCAGATACAGGTATCTCTGATGCTTCTGTGGTTGATGCATCGGTTGGTGGTGCAGCAGGTGCTTCCGTCGTTGCAGGCACAGGTACCTCTGATTCTTCTGTGGTTGGTGCATCGGTCGGTGGTGCAGCAGGTGCCTCAGTCTCCCCAGCAAATGGTGCGTCTGCCTCTACTCGTGCAGGTGCTGTCGGCATCTCCACGTCTTCTGTGATCGGAGCTTCCATCTTTGCTGAACTAAGTGCCTCAGACTCCCCAGAAGCTGGGGCCTCAGTCGCTGCTGAACCAGGTGCTTCAGTCTCTGCAGATGTCGCCGTCTCCGTCTCCCCGGTGATTTTTGCTTCTGTCGTTGCAGGTTCGAGCGTCTCTGTCTCCTCTGTGGGTGCCGCTTCTGTAGATATGGGTGCAGGTGCTTCAGTCTCTGCAGATGTCGCCGTCTCCGTCTCCCCGGTGGTTTTTGCTTCTGTCGTTGCAGGTTCGAGCGTCTCTGTCTCCTCCGTGGGTGCCGCTTCTGTAGATATAGGTGCAGGTGCTTCAGTCTCTGCAGATGTCGCCGTCTCCGTCTCCCCGGTGGTTTTTGCTTCTGTCGTTGCAGGTTCGAGCGTCTCTGTCTCCTCCGTGGGTGCCGCTTCTGTAGATATAGGTGCAGGTGCTTCAGTCTCTGCAGATGTCGCCGTCTCCGTCTCCCCGGTGGTTTTTGCTTCTGTCGTTGCAGGTTCGGGCGTCTCTGTCTCCTCCGTGGGTGCCGCTTCTGTAGATATAGGTGCAGGTGCTTCCGCCTCATTCATGATTGGGGTTTCTGTCGTTGCAGGTGCAGATGCCTCGGTTACTGTAGGTACTGCCATCTCTGCACCCCCTGTGGTTGATGCCTCGGCCGTTGCATTGGCGGGCTCCTCCTTGTCCTCAGTGCTTGGCGCTTCTGTCGTTTCAGGAGCAGTTGCAGGTGCATCAATCTCCTCAGCAGGTGGTGCGTCCGTCTCTACTGTAGTAGATGTTGCTTCGATCGATGCAGGTGCCTCATTCTCCTCAGTAGGTAGAGCTGTTGTCTCCGTCGGTGCTGGTGTTGCTTCCGCCGATGGAGGTATGGCAGTCTCCTTCTCCTCCATGGTTGGTGCCACGGTTTTTGCAGTTACGGGTGCCTCATTTTCCTCAGCAGAGGGAGCTTCGGCCTCTACCGCTTCCGCTGGTGCATCGGCTGATGCAGGCGTCGGGGTCTCCTTGGCTTCTGTAGTTGGCGTTTCGGTCTTTGCAGGTACAGATTCGTCCATCTCCTCGGTAGGTAGAGCTTCCGTCTCCGTCGGTGCAAGTGTTGCCTCTCCCGATGTAGGCGCTGGGGTCCCGCCGTCCTCTATGGTCGGCGGTTCGACCGCCGCATGCGCAGATGTGCCCACCTCCTCGGCGGGGGGAGGCGCATCGGTCACAGGACGCGGATCGGTGGTGGTCTCTGCAGCGGGGACAGTGTCGGACATGGTTGGAATGGCGTCAATGCTCTCGTGCGCGGGAGGGAAGGATGTGTGTGGTTCTTTGGCTCGGACCTTTGGCTCAGTGCTGCGTGCATCGCGGGGATCCCCCAGTCCCGCAAAGCCGGCACTTATATAGGTGGGCGGGCGCGGCGCGTTTGGCACAGAAGGCTGGAAGGTGGGAGGCCAAGTCGCAGCGAGCGGAGGGATGCTTGTAGCAAGCAAATGGATGCAAACGGGAAATACTGTATCTGGCGGTGTCGAAAAGCGGTTTGGCGGCCGCGCGCGCGCGGTGGTGGCGTTCCATGCGCACTCGGAAGGCTGGCGACTGGCACGGAGGCGATGGACTTTTGAACTGGCTGGGGGGCATTGGTGGAGCGGTGGACATGTTGGCAACGGGAGGCAAAACGGAAGCGGTAGCGGACCGGGCGAGGCTTTAATCAGGCTCTACGGTACTCTACAGCAGGGGGAGATCCGGGGGAGGTGCTTGCCATGCCCACCTGCCGGCGGGGGGCGACGAGCAAAGCGGGGAGAGGACTCTGTCGGAAGACGCGGACAGCAAGTCACGGGCGTGAGCAGTCGAGATTGCGGCAGACGCAGCGCTTGGTGCTCGGGTTGCACATGAGCTTGCGACAGACGCAGCGGTACCTGCCGCGGTAGGTCTCTTCGATGAGCTGCGGGGCGTCTTCGCTCGCCGGGGCGATGGAGAACATGTCGTCGTCCAGCGGAGCGACTTCGGAGGCCACGCACTCCTCCGCGTCCCCAGCGCGCGGGGCCGGCGAGGCAGAGGCGAGTAGCAGCAGAAACGAGAGCAGCAGGCATAGCTGCAGGAGCGTGCGGCAAGACATGGCAGGATTGTGGAGGCGTGGGAGCTGGGCCGTGCGAGTCTGCAAAGCTTTGTGGGTTGATGCGGAATGGTGTGGATTGGTGTGGATTGGTGATACGGGGGGAGCAGGCGGGGAAGGGCTTCGGGAGCGGTATTTATGCTGGTTGCAGGCGCGGTGTGTGTGTGAACGCCGGTGTGGTGCGGCTCCGCGTGGCGACGGGCGGGCGGGGGGGCGGCATAGCGTGCGTCCGACGACGGCGGCGTAGCTGCCGACGACGGCGACGTAACGGCGGGCGGCGGAGGGCGGCGGAGGGCGGCGGAGGGCGGCGGAGGGCGGCGGAGGACTCGGAGGGCTGACGGGACCTGCTTGTAGAGCTTGTGAAGCTTGCAGAGTTATTGTAAGCCTCTCGCTTTACAAAAAGCTAGAATCGGATTCGAACCGATCTTTTTAAGGGGCTTGCGAAGGTTGGAGAGGTGGAGGAAGAGCTTCTACAGCTGCTTCTACAGCTGCTTCTACAGCTTATAGATCCGGATCTATAAGGTGTAGAAGCTCTTCTGGTAGAGGAGGCGGAGGGGGAAGAGGGAGGGAGTTATGTAACTCGGTCCCTGTAAACAGCGGGCAGCGGGGCGGGGCGCACGGCGGAGATAAAGAAGAGCAGAGAGAGGACGCGGAGGACGTGGAGGACGTGGGCGTCGGCACGTGCTGCTGCCGTGGCGCCGTGTGTCGCGCCGTGTCACCATGCCGTGTGTCGCTCCGTGTCGCCATGCCGTGTGGGGCCGTGTGCCGACGTGGAGTGCGAAATGCCGGGCCAGGGAATGGCCCTTGAACTTTCCTATTTTTTTGGCGCATCCGCGGGCAGCCGCCCCGAACAGTACGCCCCGAACAGTACGCCCCGAACAGTACGCCTGCGCGCTTACAGAGCAGTCGTACACCACGTGGCCACGTTGAAACCGTCCCCACGTCACATACGTCGTCCACGTACTACACATAGTACACGTATCATCACAGGCTCTGTCCCTCTGTCCACCAGGCTCTGTTGACAGAGACATCAGCAGCGTCACCCGCTCCCTTTCATCGCGCCGCTGCCCACCAGGTACGCCCAGGTACGCCCAACTATAGACTTTTTATCGCCGCATCACGAAGCACCTACGCATTCGTCTACACCCTACCCTCCTTCCTTACATGAAATAGACACACACACACACATACAGACACACGCACGACACACACACACGACACACGGCCGCTCACACACAAAATAAAGCAACCACAAAACGCCACCAACCGACCAACGCTCACAGAAAATAGGGTACCGAGTTGCGCGGCGGGATCGCCGCGTGCTCCCTCGCATCCTCCTTGAAGATCTTAAACTCCTTGTTCAGGTGCTCATCAAAGCTCATGATCGCGGCCACGTTTCCGCACCGGTAGCAATAATTCGGCGCCGACCACACCGTCACGATCTTCTCGTCAAACATGTACTTGTACCCTTCCTGCACGAGCTGATGCGCGCGGCAGATCAAGTCCAAGTCGTTGATCTGGTTAAACTCCCTGGTCACGCGCGCGCCAAACAGCCACCCGGCCCCGCGGGGGGACACGGCCCACGTCGCCACGTCCTCCGGGTCCGACCACATCAGGTCGCAGAACGCGCCCTCGGGCGGGATCTCCTGCCGTCGGTCGATCGTGCGAATCTGGTCCAGCGTCCGGATGTCCGGCGACAGCCCGCCGTGCACGCACAGCACGGCCCCGTCGATCAGCGCCGCGATCGTCAGGTAGTCAAACACCTCGCAGCAGTACTTCCATGCGTTGGCTGTCCCGTACTTGCGCTGGCATTCGTCGTAAAACCCGTACACCTGCGTGATCTGCCGCGACTCGTGGTTGCCGCGCAGCAGCGTGATGTTGGAAGGGTACCGCGCCTTCAGGCATAGCAGCAGAGTAAACGTCTCCAGCGAGTTGTATCCCCGGTCTACAAAGTCCCCCATGAACACATAATCCGTCTGCGGGATGTCCCCGCCCGTCTTGAACAGGTTTAGCAAGTCGTGAAATTGCCCGTGGATGTCCCCAGACACAGTGCACGGGCTCGAGATCGGCTGTACGTTGCTCTCCTCGATCAGCAGCTCCTTCACATAGTCGCACAGTTGCTTGAGGTCCCACTCAGCCAGGTGACCCCCCTTCTTCACCTTGCTTATCCATCCGTCCAGATCCATCCCCATGTTTGCTCAACAAAAATGAAAAAAACAGCAACAAAAAGACGACGGCCCCACCCCCCCTTGTTGCGCACGACGAGCGATGTGGCCTTTCCGCGGCGCTGTTGCTCGGAAAACACAGACAGACGAGCGAGAACGACGGTTAAGACTAGTCACTCCTTCCAAGCTTTGCCGTCCGCAAATAGATTAACGCTCTTGACGGCAGCGGTCTCTTCGAGACGGAAACTCGACGACGCAGAAAATGTGAAACACAACAGCAGCCGTTACTCGTTGTGTGCGGCGCAGAGCACGGTGATGACAGAAGAGGGGGGCGTCATGGCGCGCCCTACGGCCTTGCTGAAAAAAGAAAGAAAAAATCTAATTCCACGCTCCCAACCCCCTGGAGGCTTGCTGAGACTCTCCTCCTGTCCGTACACGTGTCGCTCATTTCTGTCAGTATCCCCCTTGCCCAGCATCACTGTAATCCGCATTCCCTCTCCCACCTCACAAACTCACACTTCTTTACTCCCTCCGTATCAACATAATAAGACAATAATGAAGAAGGGAGTGAAGAAGTGTGACTCTGTCTAATCTCATCTTGTCAAGCATCAACTCATAGACGTCAACTCTACTCATACACCTACTGTATGTACTTCATACAACTAAGATTCCCTACACACGAAATTCCTTCCTCCATTTTTACTGAATTTTCCACACAAAATGTGCTGCCAATTGCCTCCATTATGTCAAAGGACACTATCGTATTCTACTCTTCCGGTCAAACATTTCCTGTCTGCAGTCCCACCAGAATATCTCCTTAACTTGTATGTACACAACACATCCTTTGAACATACCCATGTCCCTGTTTCCTTCCGCTGGGCATCTTCCGCGCTCATATCCTTCATCAATGCGACCGTCCCGTTCTTCAACCCACCAACTACAATCCCGCGCTCGCCAACTCCCACACGACAATGTAGCCGACCGCGCTCGGCTATCCCCGGCATTTGGACATGTGCAAGTAGCACAGTACTGCACTGTGCTGTATAGATGTTCCAGCTTTATGGATTTCAGAGTCAACTGTCGGTACTGTCGGTAATGTTAGATGCTGATAAAAAAACCGCAGGCGTTAACAGCCATCGGGGGTGCAGTAGGATTTAGGTAGACCAATGTTCCTCATGACGTAAAGAGGGATATCGACAACTCTCACGACCACCTTTTACCGAACTTTTGACTCCGCCCGGCGTGCGGAGACTGGAACCGCCACAGCGATCACTACGGTATGCCCAGGTATCCATTTTAGTTCTGACTAGCGGCCTTGCTCAGCATCTCCAACTCACAGAAGACAGATATGGCGGAAACGAGTGCGACTCCTGAGGCCTCGCCATTTCTGGCAATGTCCGTTAACCATCCAAGACTCGTCCGCACCGATGCGGAGTCGATCCAAGTTTTCCTTCGCTTATACGATCAGTATTTGAAGGAAGTAACTGCCCGTGCGGAGCAACTCACGGTAAGTCCGGTATGGACTTAATATGAGCGACCGACGAAACACCAATCCCGCCCCGTGGCGGATCGGGGGATAGCAAACATCTGAAACCCGATGCAGGTGAGGGAAGGGATAATGGAAGGCCTAGGAAGACTAGGCGCGAACGCGAGGTCCCCAACTGCCCTTTCGGCCGATGCAAGTCCAACGGACAAAAACATTGGATCTGCGACTGCCCGGTGTCCACGGATAAGGAGAAAGAGGATATGCTTGCCAGAATTGCGGCTTCAAAGACCCGCGACGGACCCTTTAAATCTACTAGAGGACAAAAAGCTACCTACACGGCCACCAAGTCAACCCATACCACACCTGGAGGTTCAAGGGTCGGTGGAACAGCAGGGCGCCTGGGGCGCAAACCGAAGTCCGGTGCCAAGACACGGGACATCCCGTCCTGTAATATCACCGTATCAGACGGAAACGCGTCGCTTGATGCGCAAGTACGATGCGATGACGGAAGCGACGATAGCATTGTCTCTCCTGCATTGGCGGAGAAAGCGTTTATCCGAAGAATCGGGAAGATTACCGCAGTCAAGCCGGTTTACCTTCAGGCTGCGCTCAAAGACGGAGAAGAAGCGCAGAAGTTTAGCTTTTCAAGAAGTTGGAATGCACCGAGGACGGTCCTACAGTTGGCTTCGGGACATCTCGCCCTGGCTAACATTACGTACTTGGTAGCCGATTCCAGACTGGCGTGCGAAGACCTGCTCATAGGTCTTCTGGTCTTACACAACCTCCAGGTGGACACAAAGACTCTCCTGGAGAACAACCGCGCGGTCCTAGACGGAGCCGATTGCTCAAGCGTCGGAAATCCGGCAACACTTGACCGCGGTGGCGCCGTCAGTCGCATGATGATTGAAAGGCTAAACCGACTTCAGCAGATCGAAAATCCTAAGGCTGGGAAAGAACTACCGAGTAACCGCCCGCGAGCCAATTATTATATCGCGAGGACGGAGAGGGACCCGTTCCTAGATCCCTCCATGTTGGACCCCGTGGATTCTGTCCAGCACGACCAAATCCGAAATGAAATCGGATTGATGAAAAAGAAGGCAACCGACAACGGTTTACCAGCTGAGTATTCAGAAAGACTCAGCGAACTCGTGAACAAACACAATGACGTGTTCCGCATTTCGTTTTCGTCGGGCCCGCCCGCCAGAATCTGACCGCTTCGGATTGAGCTAACCCCTAATGTTCAACCGGTAAGAGTCCGCCTTCGCAACTACTCACAGGAACAAAAAGAGTTTCTGTCCGAAATGGTCGCCAAATTGGTGCGCCACGGAATCGCCTATGCGAATCCAACATCTGCATGGGCGTGCGCACCATTACTGGTTCACAAGCCTGGACCCACCAAGTTTCGATTTACAGTTGACCTCCGACCGATCAACAAATTTACGTTGAAGCATCAATATCCGATGCCCAACCTCGAGCACGAACTCACGACGTTATCAGATAGTCGATTCTACGCCACCTTTGACCTATCTCATGGGTACTGAGAGCTGGAGTTAGACAAGGATTCGCAAGCGTTGCAGTCCTTCGTCATCCCTGATGGGATTTATTCACCAACTCGAGTGGTGCACGGAACGACCAATGCAGTAACACATTTTCAATCGTCACTTGCCGAAATGCTACCGGAAAATATCAAAAAACATCTACTGTCCTGGTTGGACGACATACTCATGCATTACACCACCGTCGACGAATTACTGGAAGGAATCGAAAAGTTTCTCCGATTTTGCACAGAGTACAACCTAAAGTACACCCCGCCAAATGTGTGCTATTTTCATGGTGTATCCGATGGTGCGGAAGACTCATCTCCAAAGAGGGAATTTGGTATGACCCAGCCCGAATGGACGGTTTGCTGAACATGGAACCACCGATGAACGGAGCGCACCTACAACAATTCATTTGCGCAATGCAATGGGTTCGAAGCGCGATCCCACAGTTCACGGAAATTGTATCGGACCTCCATGGATTCATGGAGCGCATATACGCGAAAGCCGGAAAAAGAACGAAACGAGCAGTTTCCCGCTATAAGCTATCCGAATTTGGATGCGGCCCTGCCGAGAATTCGGCTTTTCAGCAGTGCAAGACAGCCCTATCACGTCAAGTGACCTTGTTACATCGAGACAGCCGGAAGAGACTTTGTGTCTACACCGATGCTTCGGATACTGTGTGGTCTGGAATTGCGACGCAAGTGCCACCAGAAGACCTTTCAAAGCCGCCGACTACACAGCGTCATGAACCGCTAGCTTTCCTATCTGAGAGGTTCAATTCAACCGAACTCGGATGGTCCATCCTAGAGAAAGAAGCGTACGCTGTTCTTGCGACGCTGGGTAGTGTAGTATAATCACCCCCAACGACGAGGGGGGGTGAGTACTGACAGTTCGGAAAGACCCCGATCGGCGGGAAGACAGAAGCACGGCCCACCCACGGTACCGAGCACGGGCTCGAGGTAGCGGTGGTAGAGCGGGATCGGTGAGGACGCGCGCACGCGCGAGCGGTTCTACGCCTCGACGCCCCGGAGCGGTACTGGGTGACGATCCAGTACCGACGGGCGGAGGCGGAGCCAGCTCGTGGGCGTGCTACGCGCGTCCTCAACCCGCGCGCAGTGCTACTCCTAGGTAAAACGGACGGAAGTACCTAAAAGTAAGCGGGCGGACCAAGGTGGAGGATCCTTGACAAGTCCGTGCTTGTCGTCCTCCACCGCCGGCGGTCCGCTCATATTTAATGTACATTGTAGTCTACCATAACTCTACAGTAGTGCCGGTCGACCGACACTGTAACGCTGTCAGCCGTCGGGGCTGACAGTCCACGTGTAGTACGCGTCCCGTACACGTGGAGGACACGTGTGTGCGCGCGTAGCTGTAAGGCTCGTGCCTTACTGTCGCTGATCTAATCCTAATCTAATTTCCGAACTCCCGTTTGGGGTTATACCACAGGTAGAATTCACTGGCTCGCTGCCAGCCCGGAAGGTTTTGACCTGTACACCGATCATAATAATCTCATATTCCTGTTTGATCCGCTTTCGGTTGTCCCTGATCTCTCCAAGACCTCACTGCGCAAGGTTCTACGATGGGCAGTACGATTGAGCATGTACGACTACACGTGCCTTCACATCAAGGGGACAGGAAACGTCTGGGCCGACCTTTTAGGAAGATGGTCTGTGCCACTATCATCAGACGTTTGGTCCAAATTCCGGAACTATAGTCGTCATCGGATACCGACTTTGAATGGCCGACCGCTTCGGAGATTGCTTCTGTACAGTCTGCCAGCGAAACTGCGCGTCCGGAAAATCTCAAGGTACAAGGAGACCTTTGGTGCAACTCCACTGGTTCTGTATGGATCCCTGACTCCTCCTCAGAATTGCAACTCTGCCTGTGCGTTACCGCCCACACCGGACCAAGCGGACATCGAGGGCAAGCATCCACTGAAATAGTACTTCGGAAGTACTACTTTTGGTCCACAATGAGATCCGACATCCGATCCTTTGTTCGCGCCTGCATCCGTTGTCTATCGATAATTGGAGGGGGGAAGATACCGCGACCATTCGGACCGGCAGTACACGGCACTGCAGCGCAAGATCTTCTGCAGTTCGATTACATCGAGATCGGACCGAGCGCCACCGGAGCGAAGTACGTGCTGATGCTTCGTGACAATCACTCGGATTACAAGTGGCTTTACCGTGTGCAGATACTAGCGCCGAGCACGCTGCTCTGGCGATTATCGACTGGTCCGCCAGTTTCGGAGTACCGAAAGGACTCATGTCCGACGGACCTACGCATTTCAAGAACGAAATCGTTCGTCGTATTACTAAGAGTCTGAAGGTGCCCCATCACTTCACGCTGCCGTATGCACCGTGGAGCAACGGAGGAATTGAGAACCTTGGCAAAGAACTACTCAGAGTGTTCCGTTCTGTCATTTCGGAATTGCAAATGCGCTTGGAAGAAAGGCCCGATTTGCTGCCGCTCGTTACAAGTGCTCTCAACAATGCGCCATCCCCGAGCCGGAACAACATTCCTCCGATGACGGTATTTATGGGTGTGGACGCTACGCCACC